ACACACACAAACACACACACACATACTACAGCAACTTGTGACACTCAGTCAGACACGCCTTGTGACGTCCTCGGAGATGTTTATAGAGTGTTTCAGCACACACAGTGTAAAGGTCCATCTCTGTGTACACTCATTTATCCTGCTGTAAAATCCTGCTCAGTGCCACACCAGCCCCTGCCAAACAGGAAAAATCAGCCGTCTGCTCAGCATACAGTATCAAACTTTACACACTATTGATCACATCCAGCAATGTGACTGGTCCTGATGAAAGCCTCTTTACCACTGACTGAGGTGAATGGAACGAATGGCAGCCGGGCTGTGATACCACCCACTGCAAAGTAAATGACTGAAGGTTGCGCAATAGGTTTGGCTCATCACAGAGATGTTGTTACTATTGTGTGTAATTACTCAGGTTAAGAGTGCAAATAGGATCGGTAGGAAGCCCGTTTCACCACTGACTGAACCAGAGGTTTCGGTTGTGAGCAGTTTTGTTTCAGTAACTGTTTGTACAGTATTGAGTTACAGCTGGGTTTATCTTTGGTACTTATCTTACGTTTAGCACACAGTGAGACCCTGAAAAATGTCAATTAGACAAATCAAATTGATAAGGATCCTCTTCATTCTTGTGTTTTCAGGTGTCAAATGTATGTGCCTGGACTTGAGAACAGTGTTTAAACCAGGGCCTGTGTTTGGAAAAACCACTGATTAAAAGAAGAATGTCTTCACTCAGAGTGACAGAGATAAATCAACCACACAGTTTTCTTTATGCGCAGGTTTGCATAAAGCATTGCTGAGATCTGGGAGGTGTGCGTGTCGCCACAGCTGCCCTTCTCCGCGTAGGGATACTGAGACGTTTACGTGCATCTTCTGAGAAGCATAATTCTGCCATAACCTTACAGCTACCATATAGCTCATTCTTACTTTCCACAAAGTGATATGTTAAAAAGTATTTATCTGACACACTAATATCTCCAACGGCAATGAACATATTCATACGTCACAAACCTAAGGAACCAATCCGTCTAATAAACCTGAAACCTGAAAAAGAGCGAGAGTTTGCATTAGCACAGCCGCTAACACTGTGTCAGTCACTGCCAGTTACAAGCTAACAAACAACGTAAACAAATAAAATAAGCTAACTGCGCTAACAGTTCTGATACGTCGGCTAGTCTCTGGTTTTGGTCACAACAGACTCCTCATCTGAGTCTGGGTCTGACTGAGACACAAACATGTGAATAGGCACTTCTCTTTCACCAATCACTGAGACATTGTCGGTACAGAGAGCAAGAGTTAGCATTAGCACAGCCGCTAACACTGTGTCAGCCACTGCCAGTTACAAGCTAACAAACAACATTAACAAATAACTACACTTACCATTCTGGTATTTCTTCTTGTGATCCAGAATTTCTCAGTTAGGAAGTAAGCGTGGATCTGTCCCTCTTTTCCTTTTTTTTTTCATTTTTTATGTGGGAAAACCATGTTCAACAAAATATGATTCATATCGGAGGATTTTAAAACATGTTTGGAGAGGAACTTTAACCAGTTTCAGAGACCTGTCGAGCTTTCTTCGAAATAGCTTTTAGTCTTAGCTTTGTGAATAGGGGTTTACCTTTTTTCTCTCACTCAAGTCTAAAATCGTACTTTTAGCAACCTGATAAAAGCAGGCCCCAAAAAAACATCAACAGACTATTCGGAGACAGAGTAATGAGAGTCATATGATCATTCAAAACATGTTTCATAATTCATGGAGGAATTACTGAAATTCAATTAAGTTCCTGGCGCTCTAAGAAAGATCTGTGCCTGTTCATGTGGGATTAAACCAGCATACTAGGTGATTCAAAACCTGGTGATAAGTACAGTATGATCTCTATGATTTCACTGCAGTCATGTGAATTTCACAAAGCAAAAGCGGGAGTTCCCCTTTTGCACTCTTTTATTTTCATAATATACCAGATTTTTCGTACGTGGCGTAAACTCAAACTCAAATTCACGACATCGTATCAGTGTTGCCACATGTTCTGTTTTTAGGATGACTGACTCAGTCCCTCTGCGCTTTGCAACCCTGTACATGGCAGACGCAAAATTCCCCGCTCCCGAACTGGCATCCATTTTGGCTGAATGAAAACGGGAGTGTGTTTTATTTCGGTATGTTTCCATGATGATAATGAGGCCAAGAGCCACCGGCAGGAAAAGAAGATGGTTAGAAAAAGATGGAGGAGAGAGGGTATGGTGGAGGGGGTTTGATCAGCAATGCCAAGACGCTCATGACTCATGGTGGTGAGGGACTGGAAGAGGAAATGAATGAGGGAGGAGAGGAACGCAGGGTGGGTAATGGTGGAAGGGATGTTGTGTTCTGCTGTAGTTTCACCGTGCAGCAGCGTGAGAAACGTGGTGAAACTACAGTTACAGGCAGGAACGATAAGAGTGACGGTTGCTCCAGAATTTTTAACTAATATTTACACAGTGAGTTTTCCTCCTCACTTATGAATTATGAAAAGGTGTTTATAGAGATTAAAAATATATCACAAGACAGTCATGGACACACAGTTGTTTTTAAGCATAAATAAACTTTGACACTTGTGTTCATTGTTTTTTAAAGCCTTGGGCTCAGTTGCGACGTTAACCTAAAACACCTTTTGTTCAACAGTAATGAAAGCCAGCTGGTTGGTGCAGTTCACCTGGTTTGCAGATACAAGCACACAGAGACATGTGGAGTGTGTTGTATTCAGAACAAGACTAAGGGTTGCATACAGGTCTTCTGCAGCAGCCAGAGATCCCTAAAGCATCAAAAACTGCTAAAACCAAAATGTCTTGTTGTAGGACGCTGTGGCAGTAAATATAGACACAACAATTAAACAGTTACTGTTGAATTTCCCAATTGCTTCTCAGCATCATAATCTCAACTATTTAATTGGTGTGGGGTTTTTTTTTAGACATTCAACAGAATTAGTCTCGTCTAACATCCCTTAGTGAGTTTGTTAGTGGATGCTGACACACATAGCAGAGGGGAGTTTTGCAAACCTGCACCTGCACGACCCCTGACCCACAATTACCTTTACATCTAATCAAATCCAAAAGTCCCGTGACCTGACCTGTACATGCAACATTAAATAGACACAGTCACTCACTTTAAAACTCATCCAGACTGTATTCATGCACGGCTTACATGATGGCTGATGTGAGGTTATTTTGTGCACCGTACTATCCCATTCAGATGAGCACTCACTCAGTCAGCTCCCATTTGTTCCTGATGTAAGAAGTGACACACAGATTTGGGAGTAATCTTCCAAAGTTACTGCCCTGTTGCTGTCAGTCAGCTGCATCCTAACTTCTGGAGTCATGATGAGTTGAGGGGTGAGAGGTTGTGTCGTAGACATTCACAAGTTAAAAATAAAACATAGCAGCTAAACTGCTCCTTTATTTTCATTTCATTTCATTTTTCTGTTTAATTTTTTCTGCTTTAATGTTTATTTCACCTGGTTAACCCTAACCCCAACCCTGCCGCCCACATTGAGATCAATTTTACCTGTGACCGAACAGGTGAATCAATACAAACGTGGTTTTTAACTGTTACACATATTTTTTTTTATTTTTTACACATATGAAAAATAAGATATAACACTTTATATAACATGTTCATTTGTGAGCTTAAGAGGCGCTGGTTGGTGGATTTTTGATACTGTCGGACTGACTGTTTTTAACTGTTTTCCGTCTTTAAGATAAGCTATAATAATAATAAGTCATGGCAAGAAAGCAATTAGGTGAATTCCCCAAAATGCTGAACTGTTCCTTTAAAAAAACAAGGACAAACTGCATTCCTGGAAGCTAACAATGAAAAATTAGATTTGTTGGGAAGAGTTTTGAACTGTGTCCAGAACGACCTGTAGTCAAACCTGTCCTGGTGTGTATTTCAATATTCAAAACAACTTAGGAAGGCTTGTCGTCCTAAACTGTGTGATGGACCCAAGATAGAAATAGGCATAGTAAGTTAATCTGTAACATTTCTGTGTAAACAGGCCACAAAATAAACTAACAGAAAAGAAGGCGAAGAGAAAGGAATGTGTTACCAAATTTACTATAATTAATCAAACACTATTGCATCACACTCTACATTCCACATTGATTGCTGTATAGTCCAAATAATAACTAGAAAGGCTCTCAGCAGATCACACAACACTGGCACGGCCAAACAATGCTGCACATGTCTGTGTGGCTCTAACACTGGAATAAATAACAGGGAAAAAGGAAGTAGTCTGACAATGTAAATGATTTATTTGTCATAAAACAGTAAGTCATTAATAATGCAATATAATATAATATACAATATAATATATACACCGTCAATGTCGGATTTTTTATTTTATATCCTGTGAAACTGACGCAAATGTTGAGTTACGTGCAGCTCGGTTCAGTGCTTGCCTAATCTTTCTGACAAACACACAAACAGTTATGGGTGAAAACATAACTTTCCCTGATCAGCCGCCCCTCCCTCCTTACACACAGACATACCTTACCACTGCATTATAAACACACCTTCATTTACCGATGTAAAGCAGAATTAATGCGTAAGGACAATTTAACCTCTTATCAACCACCCACCAGCTGATCCGCCCCCGCACACACACTCTGCATTTCCTCTGAGACTGATCATAAACGATTATTTTTTTTAATCAGACCTCCAGATCCTACATTGTGAATCAGCTGTGGTTTCAGACACACACACACACACACACACACACACACAAACACAGAAACAGGAGAGTAAAGCAAAGAAATTTAACTGCTGACAGTCCTCTCAAAAGATAGGGTTTTCTCTAACAACACAGAGAAGCCTGTAGAAAGACCAGGTAATGGTTTTGAATGACTGGACAATGTGTCATAGAAGTGTAAAGTTACAGCCCTGCCTCCCTCTCTCACCCAGCCCTGCAGCCAATGGCAGCTCAGCCCAGGCCCCTCCCACACCACCAGCCTTTAAAACTCCTCAGAAGTTTCTCCTCTTTCTATCCTCTCTGGTCTGTCCCCTCTGCCTGCCTGCTCGCCTTGCCAACCGAGCCATTCGGTCTGACCTTCCCAGACTCAATTCATCCAAAAGAAGAAAAGATCTACTCCAGATTTCAGAATGTCTTCAGCATATAGGACCACCTCTTACAGTGTGAAGAGTTCCAACGCCCCACGGAGCTTCAGCAGCAGCTCCTATGCTGGACCAGGCGGTGTCACCTCCCGCAAGAGCTACAGTGTCAGGAGTTCCTTTGGAGGAAGCAACAGGGGCTATGGAGGAGCTGGCATCACCAGCTCCTCTTCCTATGGCCTAAGCTCAAGCGCAGGCATGGGCTTTGGTGGTGGCTTTGGTGGTGGCTTTGGTGGTGGCTTCGGTGGTGGCATGGTTGCTCAGGCCCCCATCACCGCCGTCACAGTGAACAAGAGCCTTCTGGCCCCCCTGAACCTCGAGATCGACCCCACCATCCAAGCCGTCCGCACCCAGGAGAAGGAGCAGATCAAGAGCCTCAACAACCGCTTTGCTTCCTTCATTGACAAGGTAACAGAGGCAGATACGTACGTGTGTGTGTGTGTGTGCGTGTGCGTGTGCGTGTGCGTGTGCGTGTGTGTGTGTGTGTGTGTGTGTGTGTGTGTGTCAAAACCTATAGTCTGTGCTTCATTCTTCTCTTCAAAAGCTCAGTCATGCTGTAGTCAGTGTTTCAGTGCTGTGAAATTGTTATGTAATATTGGATATAGAGGCCCATATGTTTGCCACATGCTCTGTAATGCTGATTTCTTCACTTTGGCTGTGCAGAGAAAGTTGATTTATTCCTCTCTCTCAACTTTCATCACCTCCCACAAATGCGGTCATGGCAGAAAAGAATGAATGTGCTCAAACTTTAGGGTTATGCTCTTTATCTTTTGGCTCTGGCTGCCTTTTTTATTTATTTTTTATAGTGATGAAAAACAGACGTGTAGAATGGAGAAACAGAAAGACAAAGAGAGAGAGAGAGAAAGCTAAGGGACTGTCAGGGCAGAGCTCAGGGCTTGTGATACGAGTTACCTTGGGACTGGTCCCTCCCTTCTCTGGGGTGTGGCTCTTTCTACTGCCCTGGTGGCCCCCACCCCTCCCCAACACACACACACACACACATACAGTCAGTATTCAGCGCCATCGTTACCTTAATCACAATACCTTCTTTCACAGTGACCCATTTCATAAGGAGTGTCTTTTCATTGACTGACTTTTAATCATCATCATCATAATCAGCGTTAAAGTCCAGTTTTTACGTAACACTCCTCTAAGGCCTCAGCAGCGGGTTAATATTTAAAAAGGCCAGTCGGTTTCATGTTCTGGTCATTGCCAGCTGACTGGCTGCATATCAGCTCTCCTTCTGCATTCAGCGCAATGATTAAAAGAAGATGGAGTGCAGTTTGCATACTTAAACACACAAAGTCCTATCGCATGTTATCTCATGGCGGCAGTAAATTTGGAGGCGCTTTTATTATCTGTATTTCCGCCAGTACAAATGAAGTTCTTGGTTAGATGTTACCTGTGGAGTGGGGCAAGGTCCACTGTGTCACATATCTGCTTTCACTGTCTCGCTCTTACTGTTCACAAAATATGCAAACTCCCCACCTGCTCATCCTCTACCTTCACATCTCCGCTCCTCCTCTCCTCAGCTGCTGCTGAAGGCCTTCACTTTCCCCGCTCCACCTCCCGCTCACTTTCTACTCTCCTCTCTTCACACCTATAACACAGTCAAATATTTACTCTTCTGCAGCTGCCTGTGGATGTAACTTGGCTTCACCCCTCCCCCCCTCTTCTCTCCCTCTCTCTATTTGTCTTCTCTGGCTGGGAATCTCGCTGTACAAAAACAGGAAGGACGTGGAAGATGAAGGGTTAACTAGCTCTGTTACTCCATCACAGGCTTTTTCCAACCTCGTCTTGTTCTCCCTCTCCTCTGCCTCCTGTCAGGATGCACGTACGTCATGCTGGCCTTCCTTTGGAAAAGCTCGGCCAGTTTTGAAACGCAGCCAAAAACAGCTCAGAGATCACCAACGATAGATAAGAACAACAAAGACTGTAGACAGTTAATAAATAAGAGGTGTGACAGGTTGATCCTGTGATTGATTATTTTTGTGCGATGTCGTTATATGGTGGCAGAGCACATTGCAGTTACACTGCACTTCTAATGGGAATTTCATAATAATCTACAAGTGGTGACTATGAGCATCTGTAACAGTATACAAGCATGTAAGTCATTGATTCTTTGTGCAGGCTTTTTGAGTGGTTTCATACCTATCGACTGACTGATGTTCAAGTCCTCCAGTTATTCATTCAATATTCTAACCTTTTTTATTTTTCCTCTTTCTGTGTCTTTCTCCGGCCATCAGGTGCGCTTCCTGGAGCAGCAGAACAAAATGCTGGAGACCAAGTGGAGCCTGCTGCAGGACCAGACCACCACCCGCTCCAACATCGACGCCATGTTCGAGGCCTACATCGGCAACCTGCGCAGACAGCTGGACAGCCTGGGCAACGACAAGATGAAGCTGGAGGCTGACCTGCACAACATGCAGGGCCTGGTGGAGGACTTCAAGAACAAGTGAGTGTGGAGGGGGCAATGGGGGGGGGGGGTTTTTTATGGGTTTATCTAGGATTCATATTCTTCATTTAGATTACACTGGAACATTACAGCAGTACACTGAGTTAATCTTTTTGTGGACTCCTCCCTGCATCTGTCCATTGTCTTGCATCATACAAACTCGAGAGGATTACAACACTGAGAAAGCATGTTCTGAACACCCATTACATTACATATGACAGGGAGGTAAAACTCATGTTACAGAGCGGGCTGTCAGGAAATCTCTCCATGGCTTTACATAAGAAGACAAAAGCACGAATGTCTCGAACACAACACAACACACAAACAACAGTGCTGCACATATTTGTTAGTTGTCCACAAACAAATGGAGCGTATGAGCTGAGGAGCCCCCGAGGGAGAAATATCAGTAACACCTCATGGGCTTGGCCCTGAGTCAACAGACAGTGTGACACAAATGCCCCAGAGGAGGTAAAGAGTAAGTGATGGACTACTTGTGCCTCCTAGTGTTGCATCAGTGTATAAACACACAGAAGCATCAGATGTGATTTTACTGAATATTCAAAATCTGATTTTTCCCTCTCAGGTATGAAGATGAGATCAACAAGCGCACAGAATGTGAAAATGACTTCGTCCTCATCAAGAAGGTCAGCATCCGGATTTTCTCAACTGCAAATTTGATGCCCTAATTGCATTTTCTTGAAGCATTTTCATTCGGTTCTGTCACTGAAGATGTAAATGTGTGTGAGTCCTGACAAACACTTCTCTTGCTGCCAGGATGTGGATGAGGCCTACATGAATAAGGTCGAGCTGGAGGCCAAGCTCGAGAGTCTGACAGATGAGATCAACTTCCTGAGGTCGATCTACGAGGAGGTAAGGCACAGACTGAGCCATGTGTCTGTTTCATACTTTCCCTCCAGACATTAAAACTGCCAACCTCCGAACTGTTTGCTGCTTTCATCAGCATTATTTTTGATTTATCTATGACGTCATAGCATGCTTGTGATGTTTGTGGTTATCATCTTGGAATAGTTGAACATCTGTTAAACATCTTGACTCACTTCTTGTGCCATTCTTGAGGTTGACTAATCTCTCTCTCTTTTTCTCTGTTTTTTTTGTTGTACTTCTTCAGGAACTGCGTGAGCTGCAGAGCCAGATCAAGGACACTTCAGTCATTGTGGAGATGGACAACAGCCGCAACCTGGACATGGACGCTATTGTGGCTGAAGTGAAGGCTCAGTATGAGGACATCGCCAACCGCACCCGTGCCGAAGCAGAGACATGGTACAAGACCAAGGTAATGGATGACTCTTACTTTAACCTTATGTCATTTTTTTAAAAACATTTTTATCACGGTGTGCTCGTTAAGAGGCTTTCAGGTTTGTAATATGTTGTTTTGCTGATGTCCATGTAGTATGAGGAGATGCAGACATCCGCCAACAGATATGGGGATGACCTGAGAGCCACCAGGACAGAGATCGCAGACCTCAACCGCATGATCCAGAGACTGACATCAGAGATCGATGCTGTCAAGGGACAGGTATGAAAAATGTGTTTTGGCACAATGATATTTTGAGCTATCATAATATAGTTTATATTCTTAAACAAAGTCATCCAACAATCCGGAGAGTAGACAAAGTCTGATTTTAAAAATAAATAAATACATTTCCCAGCGTGCCAACCTGGAGGCCCAGATCGCAGAGGCCGAGGAGCGCGGTGAGCTGGCTGTGAAGGACGCCAAGCTCCGCATCAAGGACCTGGAAGACGCCCTGCAGAGAGCCAAACAGGACATGGCCCGCCAGATCAGAGAATACCAGGACCTGATGAACGTCAAGCTGGCTCTGGACATTGAGATCGCCACATACAGGAAACTGCTGGAGGGAGAGGAAGACAGGCTGGTGAATGGCATCAAGGCTATCAACATCTCCCAACAGAGCAGTAAGTCACCTTCTTTTGTTGAGCTTTCATAGTTTGGATGTCTGTTTGGATTTTTGGATCCGTTTCAACGGATTCCACACATTTGAAAGTTTCCTCCAACCTCTCCTCTCTCAACAGCAAGCTACAGCGGTTTCCCCATGGACACCATGAAGAGTAGCTACTCCAGCGGGTACTCCAGCGGTTTTAGCGGTGGATACGGCAGCGGCAGTGGGTACAGCAGCGGCAGTGCATACGGCAGCGGCAGTGGATACGGCAGCGGCATTGGCGGCTTCAGCGGCGGCAGTGCTGGCGGATACAGCACCACCCAGAGCAAGAAGAACGTCGTTATCAAAATGATCGAGACCAAGGACGGTAGAGTGGTGTCCGAGTCCTCTGAGGTCATTGAGGATTGAGCTGTCTAGTTTAGAGGTGTAGCTACCTGTCTGCTATGATCTCCTCTGCCTCTCTGGTAGTTTTATACTCACAGTTCACCCCCTCGCCCAAAACTTTCATAATAAACAAGTGTGAAGTAAAATGCTTGCCAGCCACTCTCCAATACAGCCTAAACATGTTTTTCATGAAACAGTAAATGAACACTACCAAAGACCTGAAAGGGACCAAAGAATTTATGATCTGATGTCTAACTGTCTGTACTAAAAGAAAAGTTTTGTCTTAGAAAATGAGATAAAAAAAAAAAAAAAAACTGGGCAAATTGCAAATATGAAAAAAACACTTCCTTGAAATCTATGCAACAGCTATTCAGCTATTCTGTACACGAAGGGCTGTCACCTTCAAAACTGTGTTGCATCCAATGGACTGTGGCGTCAAAGGAATGTGAATGTACTGAAACAGTGCTCCAGTGTTGTTGGTCAACTAATGTCTTCAAATTGCCTGCTGCAGTAGGTAGTGCATGTCTTCCCTATGCGTGTCCTGTAACTGAAACTGTTCGACCCCTTAGGAGGCTGCCCACATCATACTGTTGTCCTGAGGTGCTGTTTTTGCTACCAAACAAAATAAAAATGTGTTTACTGAAAAGAATATGACGTGTTAGTATTAATTTGAAATGATTACTCAAAGAAAGAAAGAAAGAAAGAAATATCGAGAGTTATTTTCCCATTCAAGCGATTGGGAAAATGGTCTCAGACTTCTGAATACCACTGTATGTTTAGAAAGATGCATGTTTGTCAAAAATTAAACACGAGATTTCATTTTTACATCAAAGTCCAATCACATGGTTGATAGTGGCTGAAAGAAAGATAGTTGGCCATGAAAAGTGACACCTGTCATATGTGGTTTCTTGTGTGACTGATGATGTACCAGAATAGTATAAAATTATAAAGTGAATTGAAATAAATAACACTTAACTGGACATATTTGGGCAATTAAGTGTCACTAATACATTGCTCTCTAAACAAACACTAAGAAATATAAAAAAGCAGTTCGATACTGTTATTTGTTTTTCGTGAATTTTATTTCTGGATTTAGACACTGGGTTTAAAATCAGTTTCATCATGCAGAGAATCAGAGAATACCAGGACCTGATGAACGTCAAAGCTGCCTCTGGACATTGAGCTCGCCACACACAGGACACTGCTGGAGTCTCAGCATGCAGAGAATAAAAACAAGTCCAAATATAGAAAAGTCTCATCTGGGCATTGTTCTGATATATGATTGGCAGCTCATTGGCCTAATTGGCTTGTTAAGAGTTGAGACGCATTCTGATATGACTAACACTCTCCGCGCGCCATGACGCACGGGATCCAGTTTGTGGGAAGCCACCCAACGCTGGAATGCCCTCATGTGGAGGCGACCGAGACGGATTGCGTGAGTCCAGACACGCCAGAGAACCGGGGAGGGAGGACGGCAAACTGAAGTCTTTACCCCCCGCCAGATGGTGCTCAAAACCCAGGGTGGTGCCGCGAGCGCGTTCCATCTGTCCCGTCTGAAGGAGAGAGGGAACCCGCTAACCACAACAAGAGCCGCCGTCTATGGTGCTGAAGAGGCAGGAATGGATTTTATGCTTATTTATTGATTCCACAGTTTACATGCATGCTTTTATATATTTTTTTGATTTTTATTTATTGTCATGATTTTATTTCTAATGATTTCGTTTGTATTATTGCTGTGTTTTGATCATTGTTTTATTATTATTATTATTGATCGTGGTTTTATTGCACGCTGTTAGGTTGAAATCTTATGAGTATCCTGCCCTGGCTGTGACTTATGATCATGTAGTGCCCTGCTACATTTGGTTACATTTTATTTCTTTAAATATGTGTTTCAGTTGATAAATATTCAGCATATGTCGAAACATTGTCTGTCAAATTACTGCTGGTGTGAAATAAGTTGCATTAATATGGACGAATTTATATTTGATATTTTATTTGGGAAGGTACTGAAATGTCCTCTGTTCTGAATAGTCCTTGAACATCTCATGTGTTTTTCTTTGTTTATTTGGGTAACCAGGTGTCAATCTGTTATTAGCGAATCAGTGCCAGCCAGAGATGAGCGTCAACTACCTACCGGACTCTGAGAGGGGGTGGGACTAAAGAGAGACGAGAGTCAGTCGGTGAACGTGAGAGAAACGGAAAAAATACGGAGATGGCAAGAGCTAGTTGTAAGCTAGTTAAAGTGTTTAAATTTGCTGTTGTTAATGTAAGTAAAAACCGGACATTTTATATGTGTGTCAACTGTTATAAAGCAGAAGAGTGAGCCGTTGTTTGGAGCCGGTTTAGTCGGTAATTCAACCTAAATTTCGGCGACGCCATTGTCCGCTGTGAACTAGTGCTAGTTAGCCTCGCCCTCGCTAGCTGTGAGGAGAAGAAGAAGGCCGAGTGTGTGTGGGAGACATATTTTGCGCCAAGTTTCTGAGGTGCCTCGGGCCTACATGCTGCCTGCCGGCCTGCTGCTGCTGCTGCTGTAGAGGGTGCTCAGGACTTCACGCCGCCAAAACACCCGATGTGTGTGCGCAATACGGACCGGGCTCCACGACTGGTTTCTCCATCATATCTCACATCTCGTCGCTGGACAGAGGGTTTGAGCGAACTGCTGCTAACAGTTTCTGAGTTTCCAAGGATCAGTGAGTACAGTGAAAATACTTTTCTTGAGGATTCAAATGAGCTCCAACATGCGCGCCTACGATATGGTGCCATAACTGAGTTTACAAAACCCCGGGTATTATATTTCATTTTATTTTAAGAGTCACCAGGACGGTGGTGCAGTGGTTAGCGCTGTCGCCTCACAGCAAGAAGGTTACGGGTTCGAGTCCCGGCTTGGACGCGGGATCTTTCTCTGTGGAGTTTGCATGTTCTCCCCGTTCCTCTCCAGGTACTCCGGCTTCCTCCCACAGTCCAAAGACATGCAAATGTGGACTACGCTAATTGGATACTCTAAATTGACCATAGGTGTGGCTGTGAGTGTGAATGGTTTTCTGTCTCTGTACCCTACTAGAGGATAAGCGGTAGAAAATGAATGAATGAGTCACCAGGACATTTCAAAAGGGTGAGTGCCTGTTTATATTTTTGGTGTCAATAAATATATTATGCTGCTGCATTATTTATTGTGGGTTTAATGTTTATTCATGTTTGATAGGTAGGGCTATGGTGTCTTAAAGGTATGCATGGGAGTTTGTAAGCTCACATAAACAGTATAGCTATAAAATCAAGCTAACCAGGCCTCTCTGCACCCTAGTCAGAGTCATATGTTTTTTTGTTAAAGTAGACACATCCCAAATTCAAGATTTTAGTAGACTCCTACCAATTCACCTTCCATGCTAAAGGTGTTATCAGGTGTAAAGAGGTATGCCATGACAATTCTCTAACAAATTAGAGTTGAGTAAGAGGGCTACAATCAGATTACGTAGACCTGTGTAGCTCTGTTTTATTGAGGGACAGTTTATTCAACCAATGAAAGACCAGAACGAAACCGCTGCATCCAATCGGCAGCTGAGGGAAATTGCCGTCAACCTGAAAACACGGAAGACGTGGGAGACGGAGAGACCAGACTTTACCCGAAAGTGCGACTCGGCTCTGTCTAATGTGACGGCCTCCTGCCTCTAGGGCCTGCTGTTGTGTTTTGTGTTCCCTCTTGTGTTGGGTTGTTTTGTCTTTCCCTGCAGGTCGTAGGTGGGGCTTGCTACACCTGGGTGGACTTGGCCAGTCCACAGGTGTATAAGAGCTGGCACAACTCCTCACAGGTCTGCCCTGCTCTGTTTTGTGACCTACCTGGTGCGGCTGCACCACTGCGCCTGCGATCCCTCGGCACATTATGTTTTGGTTTAGTTAGTTTATTTGTTAGTTTAGTTAGCATTTGATTATGTTGCCAATTTCCTAATTTTATAGTGGTTGTAATAAAATCATTTCGTTTTTACTTTAAAAACCATACGTCTCCTCGTTTTTGCCATGGCATTGAGCCAGGTCATGACACTAGGAAGTGCACGGACAGATGCACAACAAGACGAGCAGAGGGAGGAATCGGGAGCCAGAACGAGCATCTGAGAGGCAGCTGCAGCCCGCAGGTCGGCCCAACAGCCCGTCCTCTGGTCAGCAAACGGAATGAAACCCATTGGTTCAGGTCAAGGGTTTTGCCCCGCGTTGTGAATATCCCTTGGGGACATTAGTAACACTCTGGTGGTCGAATCATGGTTTTATTGTTGTGTTGCTATGTTCACCTTACTGTCGGAGATCTTGCTGTGTGTCCTCAAGTGGTCAGTCCTGGGCGTGTGTGATCAGGGGCTCCCGGAAAACTCCGTAGCTTTTCGTTTGGGAGGGGGGAATAATCGGTGTGGGCACCGAACAATCACAGACATTAATTTTTTTTTTATTTTTTTTTTTATTTTATTTTATTTTATTTTATTTATTTTATATTATTTTTAATTTTTGCCATTTAGGGATTTTAAAAGGCAGCAACTGAGAAGCGGCCTGAACGTTGAACATCCGAAATAATATAATTAGGCATAAAAATGTCAAAAAACGTCATAATATATTATGGCATAAAATGTCAAAAATACATCATAGTATATTAAGGCATAGCATGAGAAGAAATAATATGATAAGGCATAAAAATGCCAAAAATGATCTTAGTATAGTATGGCAGAAAAATGTCAAAAAAACATCATAGTATATTAAGGCATAGCATGAGAAGAAATAATATGATAAGGCATAAAAATGCCAAAAATGATCTTAGTATAGTATGGCATAAAAATGCCAAAAATGATCTTAGTATAGTATGGCATAAAAATGTCAAAAATACATCATAGTATATTAAGGCATGAAAGTTCATAAAATCGTCATAGTATGGTCAGGCATGAGACGAAATAATATAATTAGGCATAAAAATGCCAAAAAAGATCTTAGTATAGTATGGCAGAAAAATGTCAAAAAAAGTCATAGTACAGTATGGCATAAAATGTCAAAAATACATCATAGTATATTAAGGCATAAAAGTTCATAAAAACGTTATAGTATGGTCAGGCATGAGACGAAATAATATAATTAGGCATAAAAATGCCAAAAAAGATCTTAGTATAGTATGGCAGAAAAATGTCAAAAAACATACATCATATCATATTAATGGCATAAAAGTTCATAAAAAACGTTATAGTAATGGTCAGCATGAGACGAAATAATAATAATTAGGCATAAATGTCAAAAAATACATCAAGTAATAATTAAGGCATAAAACATCAAACAAAAATCGTCATAGTAGGGTCAGGCATGAGACGAAAATAATATAATTAGCCATAAAAATGCAAAAAAAGATCTTAGTATAGTATGCGCAGAAAAATGCAAAAAAGTCATAGGCATAAAATGTCAAAAAATACATCATAGTATATTAAGGCATAAAAGTTCATAAAAACGTTATAGTATGGTCAGGCATGAGACGAAATAATATAATTAGGCATAAAAATGCCCAAAAAAGATCTTAGTATAGTAGGCAGAAAATTCAAAGTCATAGTATAGTATGGCAATAAAATGTCAAAATACATCATAGTATATTAAGGCATAAAAGTTCATAAAAAACTTTTATAGTAATTGGTC